CCGAAGGAAGCATTTGACAGAATCGCTCTAGACCCAAAACCCTGCCCAGGCTTCACTCAACCCTATAGAGCCTAAACCTCGAAATATCACTCACACTCGCCACGGACTGGAGTCAATAGGTCCCGGCAACCCCTCTCCACCCCGAAGTTCTTGAAAAGTCATCGGTAAACTTGGAATGCCGTACACGACACTACCCCCTCCAGGATGCACGCAGATTTTCAGGACTTCGGAACCCCAAGCAAGCCTGCATACTTGGTGTTACATGCATGCAGAACTCCCTAAACCCTAAGCCCTGAACCTTTGGAGTTGAATGACATGCGACGTAAGCACTTCGAGTCGCCCCACTGGGATTTCAGCGTGCAAGGGCTGCCTGAGGGTCCAGGGCCTGGATACTTAGGGTTTAAGGCAAGTTGTGGGTTTAGGGCCGAGGTTGAAAACAGTTCTCAGACCCCTAATCCAATAGTCCTTATTTTGTGCTGGTATTCAAAAAGGACCCGAAGCCATATAATGGGGAGTACTTGTGCTCTTGGGGACATGAGAAGTAAAGTCTGAGCGCCGAGTGCAAAGTCCCGAATCCTATACCTGGCGCCATCCGCGTACTGGCTTAGAAGTTACTTAAAGGATCACGGGACTTAGTAAGTAAGGTTATAAGAGTGTTATAAGTACCTTAGTCGCTGGTATAAGCAGTTATAAGTCTAGTTACCCTACTTATAACCCTAGTTACTAAGTCCCATGATCCTTTAAGTAAACCCCCCTGTAGAGATGTCGCAAAGCAAGACCTGCCAATGCCCCTGCGACAGGAACAAGAACCCACAGCGCGTAGAGAACACCACACCACCAACACCGCAAGGAGGACGTTGCAATGCAAACTCCCATTCCTAGGCATCCGAAGTTATGAATGAACGTCGGAGTTTCGCGCCCCAGGTCGTGCACGGGGATGCAGTTTTAGATGAGTCGTGCTGCCGGCACAGTTACGCCTCCGCGACTCCACAGCATGTTCTGAGCCGCGATGAATATATGATGCTTAGAAGACCCCCGACAGCTCTGCTGCTAGCATTATTGACAGCTTGCTTATGCAGGCCTCAGAGCCATAGACTAGCTGCTTGATATTGGATCTTGAAGCCAGGCAGGGCGTGGCAATCCTCAGCGGAGACGTTTGGATGGCCGGGCCGTCGAACGCCCTGCAATCCCTAAACTCCGCAGAAACCCCTTAGGTGCCCTCAACTCATACTTCAACGCCCTGCCATATTGACAGCTTGCTTATGCAGGCCTCAGAGCCATAGACTAGCTGCTTGATATTGGATCTTGAAGCCAGGCAGGGCGTGGCAATCCTCAGCGGAGACGTTTGGATACCCATAAGCCCCGCTAGAACAACCCTAAATTATAAACCCTCCTTTACAGAACCCCTTAAAGGAACCCTACTGAAAGTGTAGCGAGCCCCTTTATAACATGAAGGAGATCAGAGCTGATAGCCAGAAGGTGCTTCTGCGGACACGATGCCAGGAGCCACTTGCTAAGTTCCTTCGCTTCTAGGGCTAGGTTTACGGTTCAGGGTATATAGAGTTCACCACATGAATGTAGCCCTTGGATAGGTCCATCCTGAAAATACGGATGCCGATCGGAGACCCGAGCTCATTCAGACAACTTCCCGCCCTGGCAGACAGATTGCATATACGGGCTCGTGATCAGAGATCCCTGCTTCCCAGAAAACCCGAAGAAAGTAACTTTAGCACCCAAACCCCAAAACCCTTAAAGCCCTGAGAAATAAAACCTTAAGCTCATAGGTTACAACAGAACCCTAAGGCCTAACCCTAAACCCTTGAAGCCCTGAACCCCTAAACCCTAAGCCCTAAAAACCCGAAGCCCTTAAACCCTTGAACCCTAAGCCCTTGAAGCCCTGAACCTTAAACCCTCAGCCCTAAACCCGAAGCCCTAAACCCTTGAAGCCCTGAACCCCTAAACCTTAAGCCCTAAAAACCCGAAGCCCTTAAACCCTTGAACCCTAAGCCCTTGAAGCCCTGAACCTTAAACCCTCAGCCCTAAACCCGAAGCCCTAAACCCTTGAAGCCCTGAACCCCTAAACCTTAAGCCCTAAAAACCCGAAGCCCTTAAACCCTTGAACCCTAAGCCCTTGAAGCCCTGAACCTTAAACCCTCAGCCCTAAACCCGAAGCCCTGAACCCTTGAACCCCAAGCCCTTGAAGCCCTGAACCTTAAACCCTAAGCCCTAAACCCGAACCCTTAAAGCCTTGAACCCTAAGCCCTTGAAGCCCTGAACCCTAAACCCTCAGCCCTTGAAGCCCTGAACCCTAAACCCTCAGCCCTTGAAGTCCTGAACCCTAAACCCTCAGCCCTTGAAGTCCTGAACCCTAAACCCTCAGCCCTTGAAGTCCTGAACCCTTGAACCCTAAGCCCTAAGCCCTTTCCTCTAAGAAACCTGCGAGCAGGTAGAGCTCTGCCGAGAGCTGGGCGCAAAGTCCGCCGTGCACGGGAGCCGAGTCGGGAAGCGAATTTGGGGATTGATCTAGTATGTATATTACACAATAATTATTATAGTGTATTCTAGTATGTTCTAGTATATAATGGTATGTCACAGTTCGCCGAGAACCAAATCATATATACTTTAATACATCGCTAGATGCTATAGCATGCTCGATGCCCAGGTTTGTAACTGACGTTGACGGCGTCTTCACGAAGTCGGGGACCCAGTCTTCTCTGCTCAAATTAAAACCAGCCGTCGGAAGCAATAAGAAGCCTCAAAGCTGAATTTGCTGGCCATGGTCTGCAAAACTATTAAGTATATGGGAGTTTCCGAAAAGTAGAGGTATCCTATTTTGGTGTGCTTGCAACAGGGATCCTTCTATCTAGGGTGCCACATTCGGGCCCCTTATTTTCGGAGACTCCCATATTAGTTTCGAAGCTTGAATGAGTGAGTGAAGCCGTCCCTGCCTTGCGCTGGCGGTATCTCCAAGGCCCCCGTGGGAATCCGGTGCCCAGCTGGCCCAGCACTCGGCCAACGGGGATACTTGGAGTATCCTGGGACTTAGTAAGTAAGGTTATAAGTACCTTAATTGGGGTTACATGTATAGTTACCCTAATTATAACCCTAGTTACTAAGTAACCCTAAAACCCCTCCTATAGCATCCCTTTTAAGGAGCCCTTTAAGGAACCCTAGATACTAAGTCCCATGATCCTTTAAGTATGAGTTCAGCCCTACAATGGCGCTACAACCCTGACTTGTCCGAAACCCGAGACCCACAACTGCGCCGTCACTGGCAGGTTGTAGAAAGTCACAAGCGCGGCTTCTTGTGCGTATATGGATCACACAGGATCTCACTGAAGACCGGCTTAGGTTGGAGCACTTGTGGATCACTCGGTTCAGCAGCTAAGTAGAGATGAAGCCCCAGCTCCAACTCCAGCTTTCACGCAAAAAGTGGGACAAGGTGCCAGAGATCTTGGTGGATCCAAGCGGCGAGCTTGAGCTGAAAGGCACCGGCCTCTGTGTGTGCGGTTGTCTTTGGGTTGGAAGACTTGATGTGTGCAGAGCACTTACAAGACAGTCGTGGCTTTTGGCGTTTGTGGTCTTTGTAGACTGTGCAGCGGTGTCGAACGCTTGGCATGAAAGCAGGTTCTAGGCTCAGTTGAGGAGCACAACTTGACTTTGAGTACCTACGACTCTTACTGGGTAGGTGCAAACGTGAGGGTAATCTGCAAGCCACAACCTTTCTGCTTTGCGAATGTTTCATACCTCCGCATCCTCTCATTTCAGAGGCCCCAAGCGACACCTGAAACACGACCTCAAGCTTCCAATCTTCATGACATAGTGCCCACGTGAAGTAGAAGAAACTCACTGTGAAGCCCGAAGCCAAAGTTGCCTTAACCCTGCATCTTTAGGGTGAGCAGGCGTCTCCATGGACACAGCCTCGCACGACGTCACCGGTGGTCTCAAGGCCGGGATGAAGATTGTATGTTTAGTTACTAGGACGACAAGTGCTGGGATTCCTTGTAATTACTTTGTCCTAAGGGCATAGTATCATGATGTTCCAATTTTCTGGCTGCTGCAATTTCCCAGAAGCCTTACGGCCTCAACCCTAAGCGCTTTGGGAGGCGAAGCTGGAAAGTGCAGCGGCCGTGCTCATCGGCGCCCCAAGCATTCAGGACAGCTCTGGGCATTTTTGTGGTTCAGGGTGAATAAGGTTCCTCCATTATACAATAAAGGCTGTGGGCCCCAGACGAGGGGCCCTCATCGAGCACCGCAAGCAGGCAGTCTACATCGTCAAGGCTGGCAGCAACGCAGCCGCGCAGGCATCCGCTTGCTTCTTGTTTCCAGAGAGCCGTGTAAGGGCTTTTAAAAGTCGTAAAGTCGTGTTAGGATTTGTCACATCCTAACCCTAAGGTCCTTAATGATTTCAACTTTTCATGGTGTCAGACAAAGCCCAATGTCGTAGAAGAGGGAGTACTTGGAACGCTCCAAAGAATTTCTACACCAGTGAGGCGCTTGGGTTTAGGACAGCGGTATTGTAGGTTAGTATTTTTGAAGGCATATATGATTAGGCACTTGGACCCTGAAGAGACATGAAGCTCCTTGGAATGCCAAGACATGTCGCAGGCCCAAACTGGGCAGGTGCAAGTGAAGCAAGCATGGTACAGGGAGTCAGGCCGAAAGACGGCAGAGGAGATCCCAAGATTTCTTAAACTCATAAACATATGAAAGTTGAAACCGTGAAGTCTTCATCCCTTCATCCATGAAAGCACTGAATGATGCTGCAGTCTCACATTTGCCTTACGGCCTGTTTCGAGAAGAAATTAGCCAAACCTTTCCAGATGCAACCCCCTTCTTGCCCTACCCCAAGCTCACAGCTTGCTTCCAAGCAAGAAGCCTTAAACCAGAAACCCTCACCCGAAGTCCCTAATCAAAGCTTTTCGTCGAGGCCCTTGACTCCGCATAGGCCCGTTTAAAGCCAAGAGCCCCGAAGCAAAGTGGCTCCTGCACGCCGGGCCATGCACGACTTTCGTGAAGAAGGCCGGCGACTGCTGGAGTTTCAGCCTCGCGGCCGCCAGGTATCGAGTTGGGATTGTGATAAATTCCCCTTGTTGCTTTATGCAGAGCCGTAATTATGACACAAAGTGCTGAAATCGCGGTGAGCAGCTAAGCCTCGCAGTTTAGGACTCTAGAGTCATGGTTTAGGGGTTTCTTTTTTCGGGTTTCGACTTTGGGTGTTGGGATAGAGCTTTAGGCTGTTAGGTGTAGAGCAGCCGAAGACCCAGCACAAGCTGCAAGAAGGTCGTCCACTGTTCTTCAAGAAGCCCTGGACCCAACAAGACCCAAGCATGAACCAAGGAGACTTCATCCCCACAGCTCTTTCCGCGACTGCGATGTTGTCTTCTGCCATCCGCGAACGGGTTCCTGGGATCTCTTAAGACGAAGTTGCTTTCGCCACAGCAACAAGAAGCAGGTACCAGTGCGTCCATGCAGTCCTATCCCTTTGGAAGCCGCAGATCGTCTCGTGCATGAGATCAACGGTTTTGCTCTCTGCACAGCAGTTGTGTAGAGAGCTGCATAGGTCCAGACGCTGATAGATCGTAGGGCCATGGCACAGCAGCCAGCCGATCTCATGGTCAAGATGATGGACACCTCAGACTTTCTCAGACAAGCCGCACGGTACGAACCTCTCATTGAGCCTTCACTGGTTTCGAAGCCTTTGCCTATCGCTGGCCCGCTGGCAGGTGCTGTCGTATTCGTCGGGAGCTACGTCGCTGCCAAAGATGCAGCGTCGACCGCTCAGCAATAGTCAATAGTCATCATCCTAGGAATCTTTGGAAGCCTAGTTTGAAGACCTGCTGTCAACAGGTGGCGAAGTGGCATTTCTCTTGACGTATCAAACAACCTTGCTCTGTGATATACCTTTGCCACCACCTTATCCCGAACCAAGGCTACTTATCAAGAGTAAGACGCCTCGTGCGCACACACCGGTCTTGCACCGTTTGGCTCGCCCTTCGTCCGTCTACCGGACTTGATTCCAGGTGATCTCTAGATATCGGGTTGGGGTTAACGGTTTAGGGGTTTAGGCTTCAGGGGTGCAGTACTCTACAGTCATGTTAGCTTCATACTTACCTGGAGTAGCCCAAAGCCAAAGCTCAGGTTCTTGCAGGAGTACCAGATCCGGCACATTGTGAATTGCCAGGACAGACCTGCATCCGAATCGCAACGGCGAGATTTTTTGAGTTTACACGGCCTAGGAGATGCGACGGAAAGTCTCCAGCACTTCGGCATTCTGGGTCTGCGCATTTGCTGGGTTTTCTTGCCACGCCAAAGCACTAAATCCCAAACTCTAAACCCTATAAACCCTTTGACAACCGTTCCAAGGCCGGGAACGCCGGCAAGCGCGGAGCCTTTGAACTTCAACCCTGAACCCTAAATCCTTGAAGCCCTAAACCTAAACCCAGAAACCTTGAAACCGGAAAGAAGGCGCTTTAGAGCCAGGAGCCATCTTCTGAGAACTATTTCGAGGGGGAGACCGGCTTCGAATATTTCCGCTTTAATGTGGCGAACTGGAAGCGGCAGCCGGACACAGAGTCTCTCACGGAAGAGAGGGTTTAGAGTTTAGGTAGCATGGGTCTGCTGAACGCTGCGTGTGCAGAGATGCCCGCCCCAAGACCGCCCGAGCACCACTCACAGCGAGGCAAACCATCCAGCCAGCCCACCAAACGCGGCCAAGCCAAAGCCGATCATTCTACCAAGGGCACCAGTCCTTGCCCCAGTAAGTTTAGGGTTTGCGTTGGGGATACGTTGTGGGCCAAACAGCCCTGTCATTGATTTGCTGATCATTTGGCTTCGAATCCCTGTCCAAGCAACATTTAGAGTTTGCGCTGGGGTACGTTCTGGGCCGAAGCGCCCTGTCATTGATATTCCGATCTATGGAGTGGCTCCCGGTCCACTTTGAACCATGTTCAAGTGGTGGACGGCTTGGAGGCCCCAAACCTTGTCCAAGCAAGGCGGTACTTTCTGGACCGCAAGGCCCTGTCATTGATTTGTCGAGCTTTGGGGGGGTCCCCTGGCCTGCTTGGGAATGTACAATAGAAGCCAAAAAGTTGGAAACCCAATGGCCTCAATCCTTAAGAGTAATGTATACGGAATCCCAGCACTATTTGGCCTTAATCCGGTTTCCAACTTTATGGGGTTTACTGTATGTTGAAGGCCGCTCCCCTGAATCGCATCCATCTCGTCCAGTTTGGAGGCTGCGACGTCCTCAATCATGGTCCAGTGACGGGTTAAGTCGGCCCAAATCCTTGGCCCAGCCAAATTTAGGGTTTGCGTTGGGGATACGTTGCGGGCCGAAGGGCCCTGTCATTGTTTGTCGTGTCGATCTTTGGCTTCGAATCCTTGTCCGCTTAGCGACATTTCGCCGCCTCAGCGAAGGCCATAAACCCACAAGCCCCAAGTCTGTACTCGAACCCACCCTCCCTGAGACTGTGAACCTTCAACCCTAAGCCCTAAACCCCAATCCTGTACTTCTAACCGTACTAAGTCGATAGATCCCTCTAAGGAACCCTATAGATCCCTTTAAGAAGCCCTTTAGATCCCACCTACCCCATAATGGGCTATATAATGAGTATATGATAGCGGTATAGACCGAGGGGTCCTTATTAAGGGTCCTTCCTTTTACCCTTGGAAGCTCAGGAGACCTCCGAAGGCGCGCGGCGCTTCGTCTCCGCAGTGCTCGGCTTCTTGGATGCTGCTCTCGACGACGGGAACAACGTGCCCTGTTGAATGACTTTTAAGGTAAAGGGGTCCTTGAAGGGTTCTTTTGAGGGGTTTATAAAGGATCTATTAATCATAGGGTTTAGGTTTAGGGTACTACGAGGGCTTAAATAATTACCAATATTTGTTGGTGGTTCCTTATTATAAGTATAGTATAACGGGCCTCAACAAAAACCCTATTCTAGTTAGGGTGTAGGGTTGAGGACTGTCACAGTACATGAGCTGGATGTGTTGCTTATAACCGGCAAGAAACACCCCAATCAGATTCGTGCAGTTGTGGATGTTCCGAGCAGATGCCCAAGTACTTTCCCAATGCAGCATGTTCTTGAACCCCTAAATTACCCTAAACAACGCTATATCCCTAAATAACCCTAAACAAACCTATACCCCTATAACCTCTATAACCCCTGTACTTGTAGCGTCATCTGCCTCGACACATTTGGTCGTCGGACTTACCAGGGCTTAACACCTCAAGGGTACCCATAGGCCCATAGTAGTTCCTTGCTGGGGTTCATATTTAGAATCCTAAATGTAATCCCAAAAAGGAACTACTATGGAGCCTGTGGCTAAACGCGAAATGTATATGCTCGCACCCCGATCGGGCGCCTGCCCTTCTCCTTCATGTGGGGATTTCTTAGGTTTCACTGTCCGTTAATTAAAGGTCCTTGAAATAAGGATGCGACTATTTAGAGTGAAGATCCAAGTCCTTTGAGATTCTGAAACTCCCTTGCATTCCGCGGAGAAGCTGTCCAAGGTACTGGTGCACTGCTACGCTGGAGCGCATCGTGCTGGCACCACGGCAGTGGCGTACCTCATGCACGCGCATGGCATCAGTGGCTAAGCTAAGAAAGGGTCGGACTCGACTAATTTGCAATATGTCCCCGTATGGCAATGCACTCCGAAAACTTGCTCGATTCTCTCTATTATGGTCCATAAAGAACCACAACAGGCTTCGGAGGACCGGACGGGGAACGTAGTCGGGAGAAGTAGCTCTGCACCCACTCGCAGGATGCTGCTGCGAATTTGCCACATAGGGAGCAGGCGTACACCCAAGACGGTAGAAGCTTTTAACAAGAGCGGAGTGCCAGTGTTCAAAGCAAGAATAGGCCCCATAATAAATTCGATGAAGTTTCCTGCATCCTACATCCCTGAAGCCCCTGCATCTTATTTGGGCCTACATCGTTGAACCCGAATCCTTGAATCCGAAACCGTCAACTCCTGAGACCTGCCTTCATTCCCCCAAAACCCTGGGTTTAGGGTTTAGGGAGTTCAGGGTTTAGGGTTAAGCTCCCATTCCCTAAGCCCTACTCAAAGGTTCATTCCTACAACCTTGAGCCACCTGCAAACCCCACACCCCGTCAAGCCCTCAACCCCTGGGTACTGTAGCTTACATAAACCTTAAAGGCCCCTGAACCCGAAGCCTTCATAAATCCTTCTAGTCTCGGACTCCGTCATGACTCTTGCCCATAACTCTTCATAGTGCAAAAAGCGCATTCCGAATATGCTCATCATAAACCCTACAACCCTAAACCCTAAACATCCCTAAACCCTACTTGGAGCATCATGGGACTTAGTAAGTAAGGTTATAAATTCCTTAATTGGGGTTATAAGTATAGCTACCATAATTATAACCCTAGCTACTAAGTCCCAAGATCCTTTAAGTACAAGGCCCTCCCAGGGCTCCTCTACCCTTCCTCGCGTTTTGAGGCTTCGCGCAGGCACTGCGCCGAGCCCAGCAGCGGAGACCTGCTCCTGGACCGAAAATAAGAAAATCGAGGGCAAAGGGTTTCAAAGGAACCCCGGGTTTAGGGTTTGAGGACCCCTAAGTTTAGGGTTGGGGGGTTTAGGAAGGTTTTAAAGGAACCCTCGGTTGAGGGTTTCGCTTCAGAGGGTGTTCGTAGGGTTTGCTATAGGGTGCCTATACGGTTTGTATAGGACTGTTCTAGAGTGGTTGTGGGGCAAGGGTGGCGCTAGTGGTTGAAAAGTGTTTCCATGGGGTTGCAGAATCGGGTCTTTCTTATAGGGTGTTCGTGGGGATTTCAGAGGGTCTGCCTTGGGTTTACGGGGATGTATATATATACACATATATATATATATATATATATATATATATATACATATACATATACACACATATATAGAGACATACTTGTTTGTTTGTTTATGTTTATATTTATGTAGGACTGTAATGGTAAGGGTGGAATGGTACAGCCGCAGTACTGCAGTTCTATCGCAAGCCCAGATGGTTTCATAGTTCTTCACTACCTGCTCCTCCGAAACTCTTTCGTCTTCTTTAAATCCCTCACTCCCATAACCCAACGTTTCCATGAACGTCCACAAGCCCTAGCGACCCTAAACAACCGGAGAGACCCTGACTACAACCCCCATATGATACCATAGCACCCTTATACCCTGTGGAACCATCTACAGGCCTGAAAACCTTTGAAATCCATTGTGAAGGCTTTCATATTTTCAGAGCCCAGGTGATCAATCCGATCGGTCGACTCAGTGAACTGCTGACGTTGCTGGAGCTTCGGTTTGCCCTGTGTGATGCAGTGATTCAAGAGGTTCAGGTTGCGTACGGAAATTGGGGAGTTGCTTACCAGCTGTCCTTGCGATAAGGACCCTATAAGTGGGGGATTCATATCAAAGTCACATCTGTTCGAACTCCCATTTCGAAAGAGCTGACCAGGATTCTTTCGCCAGATCACCGTTTTTTTCCGCAGCTCAAGGTCCTCACGATGTTTTGAAGCAGGTAAAGATAAGGAACCCCACCGTATGGTGGCTTTGAGGCGCGGCTGGGTTTAGGAGACAGATAGAGACCTGAACTGACCATGATGCGCCTTCCTATAATATGCTACAACATAATATTGTTTTGATATAAAGTAGTATGATATCATACATTATGATACACTATAGTAATGAGATAATAAGAAAGCCTTCCTCGTATCGTCGCAGGACGCTGACCGACCGCGACGGCGCTGTGATTGTTGTGTACAGTAGAGCCCCACAGTGTCGCGTGCGCGCATCGCAGTGCCGCTGCCGAGACCTCGGAAAGAAGCAAAATGCTTGCTCACGACGTCCTGCCGACAGGTAGCTGAGACAAACGAGCAAGGAGAAGCAGAATGAGTGGTTCCATGCATCCATTCGCACAACACTAAACCCTAGACACCGGATCTCGCCAACATCCTGGCAACATGGCAAGACTTACAGTAATCCATTGAAACGTAGAGCACGGAAACTCTCGACCACTCAACTCGAGGCTAAGAGTAGGAAGGGCTTCATTGCAATCTGAACGGAACACGGCTTCCACGGTTATGGAGTCAAAGCCCAAAATCCCCTGAGGCCTAACATTAAACCAAATACGTTTCCCTTCAGTGGCTAGGTTTTTCAGGGGCAAGAAGCCTTCGGCGAATCCTAGTTAACCCGAAGCTCGGACTGCTCACCTATAGTCTCCATTGTAGTTCCTTTTTTTGCTTAACCAAAAACTCTACTATAGGATCCTAACCGTAAAATTGGTTAACCAAAAACTCGATTATAGGATCCTGACCATAAAATTGGTGAACCAAAAAAGGAACTACAATGGAGACTATAGGTTAGACTCGAACGATGGCCTGGGCGCAGGCGTTGCGTGGTGTTGCTCCAAAAGAGGGCCCGGGACCCGCGGGTCGGTTCTTCGGGAGAAGAGCCATCGGACTACAGAAGCCCGAGACACTGTCCCAAAAGTGCGATAGCAGTTTAATAGTATAGGCCAGAGTAGTCAAAATGGCAGCATAATGATGGTAATACTAGTAGCAGTAGCAGCAACTATCATAGTCAGGGCATTGACTCCGGTTCAAGGCATGTCGAGCGGACGAGGTGAAAGCTCGACGGGGACCGTTTAGGGTTTGGTGCTTAAGGTTTACGGATTAGGGCTTAAGGCTTGGGGTCTAGGGTTTACAGTTTAGGTTCAAAAAACCAACTGCGACCTCCTATGTGTTGCATACATGGCCATCTATGCGAACTAGCTGAGACCGTGTTGTTTTGGGGGTCTCTGAATATCCAATATGGGAGTTTCCGAAAATGAGGGATACCTTATTTTGGGGCCCTTAAAATAGGGATCCTACTATTCAGGGTACTATATTAGGGTCCCCTATTTTCGGAAACTCCCATATACCTCTGCGGCCCCGGTAGACTGCAACAACGTTCGCATTGTACCGTAAAGGCCCCTGCAGTGGTTTTGGAGCAGATCGGAGGCCTTGAACCCTCCAGGCCCCGATCTTCGCGAATGCCCTAAGACCCTAAAACCGAAGAACTTTACGGTCCTAAATCCTAAGCCTTAAACCTTAAAAACCCTAAACCCTATAAAGCCCTTTTTTAAGGTCCGAAATCTTAAACCCTATAAAACTAAAGTGCTAATCCCAAAACCGAAGCTCTGCAGGCACAACCTTGCGACGACGATGATGCTTTCGTAGTGGAGGAGCCTAGAGGGTCTAGGGCCAGGGGCTCCTTAGTAGCTCCTATACTAAGAATCCTATAAGGTACTCCCAAAACGGAACTACTATGGGGCCTCTTGGGTAGGGCCAGGGGCTCGGGGTTTAGGGTTTGAGGCCCAGGGGTTCAGGGTTGAGGGTTCAGGGGTTTTAGGATTGAGCCAACTGCGCAAGCAAGGGGCAGGGTTTAGGGTTTTGCATGATGGAGGTCTGGTCGGCGGGTTTTCTGGGCTCTCGTGGGTCGGATGTGGCAGTTGAGACCGCAGGGGTGTTCTTGCCCCAAGCCATTCCTCAGGAGATCTGCAATTTGCTGAGCTGACCGGCAAGAGTGCCGATAGTCGTAGATTTTGAAGTGTTTTACCCACGCACGGCCATGATCCACTTCGTGCTGCACAAGTCATGGCTCTCGCTGCGCTGGCACCCGAGCGATGCGCTGTCGGATGTTGCAAGTCCTGCTTTCCAGCCTCTTCCAGTGACATCAACATAGCTTTTTCCGGTATCGCATGTCAATCATCCAACCATGTCGCACATGTTGGAAGCTTTGCGGTTAATTGCAGTACTCGCTTAGGGATATGGGCACTTCATTGCAGCTGTTCGGCGGCGAAGTTTTCCACGTGACGATGCGGCAGAAAAAGCCTACCGGAACCAGCTTGCGAGATGCAGAGCTTGTTGTTGGATGTTCTGCAGCGCAAACGAGCATCCACTGTACCATCGAGTGGTGAGGATGATAGAGCGGCCTGCTGCAACGAGGCCGCCGATTTTGAAGCCGAATTTTGCCCGCGCAGGTTCCTTCCTGATCATGTTCCTTGTCTGGGCCTTCACGAATGCAATCTTGTTCAACGTGCCCCCCGGCCAACATTGGGGGACCAGCTCTTACACATCTTTACCTTCAAAATCCCTCAACCCTCAACCCTACAAGCCTTTTTGAACCTCCTCAAGACTCTGAACCCAACCAGTTTACGACAAGGCGCTTTGACTGGCTTCCACAGGAAACGAGCCCCGAATCCTCAACATCAGCATCCTTACCCCCGAACCCCGAAGACGTCGATTCAGACACGTTCTTCGGAGACCACAGGTCGTTGTGGGTTCAGAGCCCCTCGTTACATCCGCGTTCTTCTATGGGTGAGTTATGGCATGGCACAAAGGTTCTGTAGGGTTTCATAACGGGGCTTTTGCAAGCCTTCGAAAGGATTTGTTGGCAAAAGGATGTGAGAAGGATCGTCTCAGGTTTCAATTTCTTCGAGCTCGAGGGCGGGTTTACAGAGCCGCAAGCGAAATCCCTCCCAAAACCTCAAGCCGAAAGCCCAAAGCCCTACAGGCCTAGTAAACGCTAAACCCTAAACGCCATAGGCCCTAGTTAAGCCTTACACCCAAGGCCGAAAGCTTAAACAAAATAAACCCTAAGCTCCAAGCCCAAAGCCGCAAGCCCCTAACTTCCCGAGACACTAGAACAGTCCTAAGCCCCGAAGCCGGAACTTGAGGATTCTCTCCTTCGCCAGTAACATGACGCATGCTTCGGACTATCTGCAGGGCCCTTGGGTTTGGGGTTGCGGGTGGATTCAGGTGTGGGAATCTCCTTTAGAGTCGTAGGGTGGCGGATTCGTGAGAGAAGAGTTAGCTCAGCCTTTCCGGATGAGGGTGGAAACCCTGTTAATTGCGGGGCCAGATCCAGAAGCCATGGGGACAGGGGTAAATGCTGCAGAGGTGAGGGATTCCGTTTTGAAGCTATTAATTAAGGATGCAAGTGCTTAGGATCTATATCATCTCCTACGTACATAGGGCGCTTTTCCATGGTGTTCTCATTCGGCAATGTGCCAGAGCAGTCAGACTTGTCACGGCTAGATGGCTGATCCGAGCTGCCTTCTACAGTCAGATTCCTAGGCATATTGCACAGCCCTAATCATCCATTTCTCTCGGATCCTTATTCACATCTACTTGGCAAACACAACCGTTGAATCTTACCCTGCAGCAGAAAAGCCGTGAAGCCCCCGGAGCACTGAGGCGTCGTTAAGGCATCAGTGGGATAGCTCAGTTTCTCCTATCTGGGTACCGGAAAAGCACATATGCTTGCGGAAGCTAACTCTGCTACCAGTAGGAGACAGTCCTTGATTAGGCAAAGGGCTTCACGAGCACAGGACACTCAACCCAAAGCCTGAGGACCCAGATCCTACATCTTAAATGCGCCTCAAAACCCAGAACACCCTTAATATCCATGACGCAAATACCCTCCAGCCCTAAGCAGTCAGATTCGGACGAATCCACCCTAAACCCTTAAACCCCAAATCCTACGGTTCTGCCTTTATCGACGATCCTTCAGGTCTTCCTCCGTTGCAGATGCTGCGAAAATAGGCTTCTTCGTGGCACCTTGACAAGACAAGACTTTGAGAAAGTGCTCTGCTTTTGCTGAAATGCGGTTTAGGCTCAGAACTTCTGGTGTTAAGTGGGATCTAGGGCAGGACCATCTACGGTGCAGGGCTTCAGAGTTGGGTGGAGAGTCTGAGCATGTTCAGAATGTACACATGCTGTCTTGACGCGGTTCGGAAGTTCGGCTGGTGATGATGATGATGACGATGATGACGACGGTGACTGTGATGACGATCAGGTAGTTACATGCTCGTGCCGTTGAATCTTGAAACCGGGACTTCGACGACATGAATGCACTTGCAATCAAGGGTGGCCGAGTACATGAGAAGCATCTGCATTGAAGTAGCAATCCTTTTAACCAACACGCTCGCAGTGTGTTGGAGCTCTTTCGGTTGCTGGTTGACGGAGACCTGTTATTGCCTGGATTCACGGATCTGTCTGCTGGGTGACTGCCAGAACTGAACCAGTCCAGGGATCACGGCCAACAATGGCTGTTGTTGAACTGTCCTGGACATCGGTTCCTTGTATAGAGGCACTTCGCTCCAAACGGCAAGCCTGCATAGTATTGAAGGCACTAGAGGGATGATGAGTCATTGACGGACATGTATACCGATAAAGTCGGCCACGCCCCCCGCACATTTGAACACCTTTGTTTGTTCCCCCTCATGCACCCTCCCAGCACCTTGCCGCCTCAGGACAACTTCTTGATCCTCGTGGACTCGGCAATCCAGGCCCCAAGTCTTAGCTTTGCTTAGTAGGGAATGGCAGAATGGTAGTAGTGGTAGTTATAATGGTAGAAATATGATAGCAATATGATAGTAATATGGTAGTAATATGGTAGTAATAGCAAGTGTAATTGTACCCCATTTCCTCCATTCCCTACTAACCAGAGGTAAGAAGGGTCTCTCCCCGGAGCTGAGTTGAAAAAGTGGCCCTAAACCCTATAAGCCCTGGGAAAATATCGCAGGCTCAGGGAGCCCTCCTGTGGGGTTTCAGGCTTTAGAGTTGGGTCTTATTTGGGAGTCTTCATAAGATCCTTTTTTGGGTGGTTTTAGGGCCGGTCTCCTTCGGTGCATTTGATCTCATTCTGCTGTGCTTATAGAGATCACAGAATCAGGCGGTGGCGGTGTGGGCTTCGGCTGCAGTCGTCAATCACAACAGCCCGACAAGCAACCCCATCCCAGACTCCGCGCCGATCGGGGGTGAGAGCATGTCACTGAATATGAAGCGGAGCATGCATTAACCTGATCATATAGTGATCTGGCATGATCTAGCAGTCGTGATTCGTGATGACAACAAGGAAAGAACGATCCAGAACCTGCTAAACATGAACAGTAGCTGCAAAGAATAACAGGGAGTAGGGAGACGCAGACAGCAGAAGCAACAGCAATCCACAAAACAAAACGGTTCCAGCAGCAGAAATCATGCACTGCAAAAATGGCAGCAAGAGCAGCGTCAGTGTGGCCGAGCGAGACTACGCTATCAGCACGGGCAATAGTGTGTCTGGCAGCAGAAGACTTTCGCATGAAGAGCCCTGGAATTGGATGTACACTTTACTAGATGAACTTTGGCCTTTGCCGACACAAAATTCCACAGAAGCAGAAGTATATACTGCTGATGACTCCCGACACCCCTATGGCAGATACGCATGTGCCGGCGGGCTCGCCAAGTGCTGGATGAGGCCGGTTCTGTGATTTCGGGATTCCGGCCCAGATTACAAACATTGAACCCCAAACCCTAAATTGAATTTGACTCCCAGCCGGGGGCATGTAGATTCGGGATTGCATTGGGCAGGCGAAACTGAAGTCGAGAAAAGGCTGACGCCATGGGACAAACGCAAACCCTAAGCCCACACGATATAGGGGCCTTAAAGATTAGACTTGGGTTTTGGGGTATTATATTCTACAGTTAGTAGAACTTTAAGAAGGAGGCCCAAAATCCTACTTTAACCCCATCTGGAAGCCCCAATGGCCGGCCTAAGACGGATTGTCTTTTACCTCCTGTGGTTTGGGGTTTAGGGTTGGTCATGGTTGGAGAAGATTTGTTGAGTACTTAAACTCCATAAGCAATAGAAATTCCCGAAAGCGTCGGCGTCGGCTTCTTCGTTGGAGGGTTCGTCGGTTGGTATAGATTCTACAGTATCTGATACAAACTTCTTACTGTCCTGCTTCGATCTATATAAACTAGGAGAGTCTTACTCGCTGGTACCGGTGGTTGCGCTTCGGGGGGTAACGAATCTTTCCAGACTTCAATGCGTCGGGGTCGGCAAGGTTTGGTGCATCTTGGGGGCGGCTTGCACCTCGGTTGTTTTTACGAGTTATGCAAAAAGTGGAGGATCCCCTCGTAGAAAGTCCCATGCACCATGGGGTTCAGGTGATTGGCTCTGACCCTAAACCCTAAAAACCCTAAACCGGTTGCTACTAAGGGTTTAGGATTTAGGGAGGCACTTTTGTGTTTCTGCGATTTTAGAGTTTGCAACCCTTCCGTCGTGGACGCCTTCTTTTGTTCAGGAAGTCATGGGCTGCTATGTGAAAAGAGTTGTTTTCCCTGGCTGCTGTGTGGGTTTTCGGCTTTGGACCTTCGGCACCCACGCACGACTTCCGTAACCAATGATGGGTGCGACTGGGTTCGACCTCGTAAACAACAAGGTCACCCGGTCCCACCCATCCTTCTGGAATGCGCTTAGTACGCGCAGAAATCTCTTTGTATTGTAGGGGTTGTGAACTCTGAGGACGCTACAAGTTTGTAACACGAACGTCCACTCTGAAATTTGTGTATCTTTGCTTCAACGACACTGACAGTTTGTAGCACTTCCACCCTGAAGCTTCTGTTGCTTTGCATTGCGGGCGCTGTGAACTTTATGGACTCTAAAAGTGTGTAACACGAATGTCCACCCTGCAATTTGAGTATCTTTGTGTTGTAGGCATTGTGAACCTTAATGACACCCTAAGTTTGTGACGCGAACGTCCACCCTGCAATTTGAGTATCTTTGTGTTGTAGGCATTGTGAACCTCAATGACACCATAAGTTTGTAACAGGAACGTCCACCCTGCAATTTGCGTATCTTTGTGTTGTAGGCATTGTGAACCTAAATGACACCGTAAGTTTGTAGCGCGAACGCCCACCCTGCAATTTCAGTATCTTTGTGTTGTAGGCATTGTGAACCTGAATGACACCATCAGTTTGTAACGTCCACACTGCAATTTCAGTATCTTTGTGTTGTAGGCATTGTGAACCTTATAATGACACCATAAGTTTGTAACGCGAGCGTCCACCCTACAATTTCGGTATCTTTGTGTTGTAGGCACTGTGAACCTTAATGACACCAAAAGCTTGTCACGCGAACCTCCATCCTGCAATTTCAGTATCGTTGTGAACCTTAATGTCACCATAAGTTTGTAACGCGAGCGTCCACCATGCAATTTCAGTATCTTTGTGTTGTAGGCATTGTGAACCTTAATGACACCCTGAGTTTGTGACGCGAACGTCCACCCTGCAATTTGAGTATCTTTGTGTTGTAGGCATTGTGAACCTCAATGACACCATAAGTTTGTAACAGGAACGTCCACCCTGCAATTTGAGTATCTCTGTGTCGTAGGCATTGTGAACCTTAATGACATCATAAGTTTGTAGCGCGAACGTCCACCCTGCGATTTCAGTATCTTTGTGTTGTAAGCATCGTGAACCTTAATGACACAGCACCACCCCCTAACAATATGCCTTGGGGGGGAGTAACTTTCGGCCCGGCACATTGTAGGGACTCCCCCGGGCTCATTTCTGTCGCTCTTGACATGATGTGACAGCTTCCCGCTCCGTAGCTTTTGCGAACTGCTGGCTGAGACATGACACAAGTTTCTTCAAGTTTTGGATGTGATAGGCGAACATGGAAAGAAGCATAAGATCTCACGGTAACGGCATGCGTTCAAGTTTTCAGATCGGCTGGCTCGCTGCTGAGAGGTACCTTCTGCCGACCAGGAGAAGGCAGGGTTATTGACATACATATGTATATATATATATACATACATTGCGTTCACGTTTGTTTAGAGTTTGCCATGCTTTGTGTTCAGGTTTGGGTGGGTTGCCAGCAACAGGTGCTGGTGTGTGGTGTGTCTGCAGTGGAGCAGTTAGGACAATGTTTGGGCATTTAGACATGTAGAGCGGCGAAGCATCGTTCAGGTGCAATGGGATGGTAGCTGAGTTGCTTTGTTGTGCCAGGCGCCGGGGGACTGGAGTCTAAGCTCCCAGGTGGGATTGGAAGCTCATGGCTGCGGTATTCAGCCAAGCAACTGTCGCCCATATGATTGGCAGGAGGCTGCGCCTGATTCGCCTTTGGGCTCGCCAAAAGAGGGGCCGCTGCCTGCAGAGGCCGGTCCAAACCCTCTTTGTGTCAGTTTGTTTGCGAAGGAACTTGTGGGGGGGGGGGGGGTTGGAAAAACAGGGCAAGCTCAATAGTAATGGCTTCTTGTGACTGAGGTTCCGTCGACACTCCTTCCTGTGCGAGCGCTTCGCCAGGCAGAGAAGCCGGAATCAATTTCTGGTGGCCCTTGACGACCTGTGTCTCAGCAGCATTGCATTCCAGGGCTTTGCACATCTTTGCATTCCATCTTATTATAGTAGGTGCATCATTTAGCTATGCCGGGCCTTGAGTGGCGGCTTCTGCAACAGGGGGAGCGGTGATCGGTCCCCAAACGGGAAAACCTATCTGAGCTTCGCCCGCACTATTCGGAGTCAGGTAGTACATCCCACATGAGTTTGCGAACACAGACTGAAGCCCATGCCGAACCAAGTTTCTTGGGTTGCCCCCGACGAGAAGAAATTCCGCTCCTACACCGAGAGCGCCGACTACAGCTTGCCCAAGGGGTTCGAGGATTGGTGTGTGCTATTGAAAAATCTAGGCCAGTATTTCGGTCTCTACCCCGTGCACCGGATCCTCCGTACCAAGATCAAGCCCATCTTTACGACATCAAAGGGTCGAGCTATCTCAAGGCTGCCGAAGCTTCGCTGTCGGTGGTTTTGGCGTTGCATCGCTATGTCTGGGCTTGACTCCTTCTCCTACCGGCACTTCCCTTCGGCAATGTGTGGACATGCCAGGAATCGCCAGCTGCAGTGCCGAGTTCTTCTTTGCCCGAAGTGCGCCCCTCTGGGGTGCGGTGTGGGATTCGGGGCACTTCGGTGCTTAGGGGTGTGCCGGCCAGTAGAGCACCAAAGCCATCCGAGCATCGCCGCTACGTCCAGCAGAGGATCACTACATCACCAGCTGTACCGAGCCGCCACTGCTCTTTGACCCAGCCGGATCCGTTCTGGCTGAGCTGGAAACCTCGCAGACGAGCGAGTCTGCGACGAGGTTTCATGTGGTTCTTTCGCCGGCTGCTGCCTCTGCTTCGCATATGCTCCAGGCCGGCAAGGTTCCGGTGCCTGAGTTGCCAGCCCCCGGTCCCGATGGGCGCAATGGCACTGCCAAGAAACGGCCGATCCTTCATGCGGAAAATGTGGAGCAGAATGTGACTCTGCTCCTCAGGGGCATGATGCATGAGTACCGCCCGAGCCGGAATCGAGATAGTAGACACCAATGGCATGATCAAGACAAACAGAGCCACGATGATCACCTTCGCAGAGGTGGCCGAGCGCACACCGAGTCTCTTCCTGAAGAGTGGATCCCAGTTGCAGGGCTACCAGTTCAGCCAGTACTTTCACCGCGAGCTCACCGCACGGCTGCCCACCCAAGGCTGCTTGCTCGCAAGGTTCTCTCATCCACCGATGTTGTTGTTAGTATGCCAAATATAGAACCTGGGATTGCTGCAGAGTGGTGTCAGGGAGGTTCGCATTTTTTTGGAGCGGGTTGCAAAAAGCACACTTGCTGACGTGAAGCTCACCGTAAGGTGACCGCGGTAGGATAGGGTAGGATGATGTAGGATGGGTCAGAAAGGATTGCAGGACTTGAGCCGCAGTCGTCATGATTGCACTTCCACATCGCAAGTGTCGTCATCGTGGCAGGTGCATATAAGAGAAATCGGCAGCAGCTCCTGCATGCGGCTCGCGATGGGGTTAGCGCACTTGTCGCACAGTGAGGGGTGCACAAGAAAAGAAGGCAGCGGTGGGTGTGCGATCTGTGACACGGCCGCTCTTGTGTCGATGCAGATGCTGCATTATGGTGCTCCGGATGCGTCGGTTATTACTTGTAATACCTGTTGTGCGTCTCTAACACCCTCGAAATTCCTGGATTACAGTTGTTGCTGCGTATTTCTACAATTATTGCAATAATTACGGTAGTACGTGCTATATCTTGCTACCAGCAGCAATGGTCTTCGTGAGAGTGGTTCAACCACCCCCAACCCACGAGCATTCCCAGGAATGGACCCGGGCTCATTTCCGACCCACCCCCCACCACCCCACCCCTGTTAGGGGGTGGACCTAATGACCCCGTAAGTTTGTGACGCGAACGTCCACCCTGCAGTTTCAGTATCTTTGTGTTGCAGGCATTGTGAATCTTAACGACACCATAAATTTGTATCGCGAACATCCACCCTGCAATTTCAGTATCTTTGTGTTGTAGGCATTGTGAACCTTAATGACACTAATGACACCAAAAGTTTGCAACGCGAACGTCCACCCTGCAATTTCAGTATCTGTTTGTTGTAGGCATTGTGAACCTTGACGACACCATAGGTTTGTAACGCAAACGTCCACCCTGCAATTTCAGTATCTTTGTGTTGTAGGCATCGCGAACCTTAATGACACCATAAGTTTGTAGCGCGAGCGTCCGCCATACAATTTCGGTATCTTTGTGTTGTAGGCACTGTGAACCTTAATGACACCATGAGTTTGCAACGCGAAAATCCACCCGCAATGTCAGTGTCTTTGTGTTGTAAGCATTGTGAACCTTAATGACACCACAAGTTCGGAACGTGAACGAGCACCTTGCAATTTCAGTATCTTTTTGTTGTAAGCATTGTGAACCGTAGTGACACCATAAGTTTGTAATGCGAACGTCCACCCTGAAGTTTCAGTATCTTTGTGTTGTACGCATTGTGAACCTTAATGGCACCACAAGTTTGTAACGCGAAGCTCCACCCCGCCATTTCAGTATCTTTGTGTATTGTAGGCATTGTGAACGTTAATGACACCACAATTTTGGAACCTGAACCTCCGCCTTCCAATTTCAGTATCTTTGTGTTGTAGGCATTGTGAACCTTAATGACACCATAAGTTTTTAACGTGAACGTCCACCCTGCAGTTTCTATATATATATATATATATATAATTATCTCTGTTGTAGGCATTGTGAACCTTAATGACACCATAGGTTTGTAGTTCGAACGTCCACCCTGCAGTTTCAGTAAAGTTTTGTTGTAGGTATTGTGAACCTTAATGACACCATAAGTTTGTAACGCGAACCTCCACCCTGCAATTTCGGTATCTTTTTGTTGTAGGCATTGTGAACCTTAATGACACCATAAGTTTGTAATGCGAACGTCCACCCTGAAGTTTCAGTATCATTGTGTTGTAGGCATTGTGAAATTTAATGACACCATAAGTTTGTAACACGAACGTCCACCCGGAATTTGCTGTGTCTTTGTAGTGTAGGCATTGTGAACTTTGTAAATTGTAAATTTGCAGCGCGCGCATCCACCCTGAAGTTTCTGTATCGTCGTAGTGTGGGGTAGTGAACGTTAAGGACACTGCAAGTTTGTAACGCGAACGTCCTCCCTGAACTTTCTGTATCGTCGTAGTCGTCGTGTGGTCGCTGCGAATTTTACAGACAGTATAGGTTTGTAAGGCGAAAGTCCACACTGAAATTGCTGTATCTTTTGATAGTCGGCGTTGTGAACTTTAAGCACATAATCAGTTTGTAACGCGAACGTCCACCCTTCAATTTCTGTACCTTTGCATTGTAGGCGTTATGAACTGTAAGGACACTACACTAACTACACGATTATAGGCGTGTAACGCGAGCGTCCACATATAGGCATTGCGAACTTTAAGGACACGATAAGCTTTCGATGTCACACTAAAAGTTTTCAATGCCTACCTTGAAACTTCTGTATCGTTGCATTGCAGGCGCTGAGAACTTTAACCACGCTATAGGTTTGTAGTAGTTGTTGTTGTTTTTGCTGTTGTCCGAGTCGTTGTCGTTGTTGTTGCAGCTGTTGCTGTTTGTGTAACCGTTGTCGTTGTGGTTGTCGGTGTTGCCTTTTGTTGTTGTTGGTGGTGGTGTCGTTGTTGTTGTCATTGTCGTTGGCGTTCAAGTTGTCGTTGTCGTTGTTGTTTCTTTTGCTGCTGTTGTTGTTGGGTGTTGTTGTTGGCGTTTGTCCTTATCCTTGTCCTTGTTCTTGTGCTCGTCGCTGTTGCTGTTGAGCATGCATGCATGCAGGCATGTATATCTCATATACATATATCTTCGGCTCGTCAAATGCTTTCGGGACACCCAAGCTCTAGCTTGAATTTGCAATACGATCCCAACCCTCAACTAGCCGTTAGACTCGAACCACTTCCTTGAATGGGGGTTCTAAGTTCCCAGCCCCATGAAAGGAAGGCGGTATTTTGAAGAGGGATCCCAGTATTAAGGCCCTTAAGGAGAGGAGGGCCCACCCCAAAACCCTGAGCCCAAACCGCTCAGAGGGGATTCAGTACTCGGGGGGTCTGCACGAAGACAGAATCTGCAAAATCCTGATGAACCCCATTCTAGTCCCTGGTGCTTAGTAGGGAATGGGGGAATGATGGGGAATGGATTATCGAGACTATTATTGGAGATTATATACAGCCAGGCCCTGCCTGATTGGCGAAATCAGATGACTGGCTCAGGCCAGTTCTGAATTTGAAGGTTTGGGGCTTAGGGCCATTAGGGATTAGCAGTTTACTGCGTGAGGGATCTAACGTTTAGCATGCCGTGGGATTAAGGGACTAACGGTTTAGAGCTTTAGGTGCTTAGGAGTTAGCGCTTGACTGGTTTTATTGGTGCAGGGTTGGGTAGTCAACTGTCAACAGCAGAAGTACCTAGAGCTTCCTGTAATCCTAAACCCCAACGGAAGGGCTCAAAAGAAGGGTCAGAATGGGTTTGCAGGACTTGGATAGCGAAGCCACTGATCGCCAAACTTACTCCTTGCTTGGTGTTACTTAATATAAGCGGTTTTTTGAAACGAAGAGGGTGGTTTAAAGCCCTCTTCGGTCTTGAAAAGCCTTCTCCTGCTTTTTTCATATACCCCAAATCTCTATTCCGTTTTATAAGACTTCCAATATTTCCCAGGGACTTTCGCACAGGGTTTGAGTATGACAAGGGAGTTTCAGAGACATGGCATCTCTGGACATGCCGGACATGGAGATGGCAGCGACGATGCGGCGCTTAAACCTAGCCTATTGGCGTTATTCGTCAGAATAGTCGCTTATAGAACCCTTATATACTTACATTGTAGCCCGTTTGGAACCCGTACACAGCAGCCCTTGTACAACCCCAAAGTGACCCTTCTACGGTTGATGATATGAATCCTGCACTACCTTGAGGACCCTAAACTATTGGAATTAGGGTGTACTCCTTATCATGGGTAATGCAGGATTTGTATCATCAACCGTAACACTAAACCCTAAAACCCCTCTTATAGAGCCCTTATAGATCTCTTTTAAGGAGCCCTTTAAGGAACCCTAGTTACTAAGCCCCATGATCCTTTCAGTAGAGTGGTACTTTCTTTTGGGATCCTTGCAATAAGGATCCTACTATTTAGGGTACTATATCAGGGTCCTAAACCCCTAAACCCTAAACCCCTAAACCCTAAACCCTAAACCCCTAAACCCTAAACCCCTAAACCCTAAACCCTAAACCCCTAGCACCCTTAGAGTGGTTGTTGAAAGCAGCATCCCTGGAGAGGCTCGGGGCAAAGTTCTCCGGCCAGGGAGCCCTTGCTAGAAGTGCTTCCGTCCTTTTTTGGGGGCCAAAAGAGGGGTTTAAGATTCTTGGGGTAGGGATTCCTTGAAAAGGACCCTATTTTGGGAACCTTAATCCCTACTAAACCTCCATAGGCCAAAACCCCTTTTGGGGCGGGGCTTTGGGGGTTATGAGATTTCTAGGGGTTTGGGGCTTTGGGTGTTAAGGGTCTAGGGGTTTAGGGGTTTGAGGTTTAGGAGTTTAGAGTTTGGGTTTAAGGTCTAGGGCTTGAGGGTTGAAGGTTTAGGGTTCAGGAGTTTAGAGTTTAGGGTTCTGGCCCTTTGCCCTTGGGGTTTGGGGTTCCTCCTTTTGGGGTCTTGGGGGTCTTCTAAGCGATCTTTAGGGAAGGGTTCCTTCTAGGAGTTGCTTCAAGGGCTCCTTGTTTCAGGATCCATAATGGTCACTATGTACGTTTCTGGAAGCGGTTCCTTCAAGGATTAGTTACTTGAAGGATCATGGGACTTGGTAAGTAAGGTTATAACTAGGGCAACTATACTTATAACCCCAACTAAGGTACTTATAACCTTACGTACTAAGTCCCATGATCCTCCAAGTGGTATTTGTAAGGTCATGGTTGCTATGAGGGGTAGTTCAGGTTTTGGCAGGATCTCGGCTCTAAGAAACGTGTTCTGGTAAGAGCGTCACGGTTTAGGGTTTATGGCCTTCTTTTTCGGATTATATTCTTGAACCTCTGGGTTTCGCAGCTCTGGCTTTCATGCGATTTAGGTAGTATTGTGTCAGTTTGATAAATTGGGCTGAACCCTCAAATCCTACTGTAAGCCTTGGGCCCGCAAATTCTAAAGCCTGAC